CGTGCGAGTGTGAATCTCCAAGCGGTTCCCCCCCCCCCCCCTCCCGCCCTGCCCCGAACCCATCATTGTCAAACTAGCTATCTGTAGTGACGTCTGGAGGTAAGCAGACCCTTAGTTGTCATGCTAAAAATGATCACCGTCATCATCATACTGTGTGTGTTCACACTCATCACCATATAGGGAAAGTATCCCGATGCTTATGTACACACAACATGCATGAAGTCCCTCTAGTTCTCATCTTAAAACATCTTTTTAACACAACCCTAGTCTCATCTCTATATTAGATTTAGTAATACATGCTCATTAGATACTTATGTTAATATCGTTATTCATGTTCTTAGGATTGTGTCCTAAGTCGATCTCTCGACATGATGCAACATGGCATTCATCATCATACAACATCCTTAATATGACAAATATCATCATATTAAGGTAAACGTCATGCATCATATACATCATAGTCATCATAACGCCATCAAATGCATCAAGTACATCATGCATTGACATACTCTCACGTACGTCATCCTACATCATTATATATCATCACATAATTCAAGTACGACATTATATGTCACAACTCATACTTGCATCATATAATTCACATACATCATCATACGTCATCATAAATCCTCATATATCATAGCTCATACAATTTTTCTAGTCTATCCTATAGTAAGATCATTTACTTGGTTAGCCTTAGCTGACATTCTCCCTAATAATTATATGTTAGTTCTCGTTCCTCAAGAGCTGCTCCAAATGTCGTCGAGGTTCGTTTTCTATATGTCGTTTGTCACCTTTCGTTAGTATTTCACAAATCAATGGTAAGTCAACTGTCATATGTGAAATATGACACTAAAACGGCCTCAATTACCTTAATCGAGATCGAAAATAGGTCCAAGAGGATCGGAACGGTGGAAATTGGGCTAAAATAGGGGTACCCGAGCTGAATAAGTCGAGGAGCCGCGCCGAGCTGCCTAAGCCGATCAAACCAAAGGGCTATTTTTGCCAAAGGTCGACACATGGTAGACCAGGCGTGAAGCGTACCCTAGGTGAACGTATGGTGGTCAAAAATCTCTTTCATGAAGTGAATCGAGTGTTCTGACGTTGGATTTGGTCGTTTTGGTTAAGGTTTCTTGGATTTGGATATGGCTAGAAAAATATCTTTGTTTCCCTCTCTCTCTTTTGTCCTTCTCCTCTCTTGTTTCTCCTTCTTCTGTTTCCTTCCTTGCAGGTGGCTCTGAGGACGCG